GTCGTGAATGTGGCATTTCCATTGACAAAGCTGCACAGCTAAATCACATTCTTGATCCCCTCCCTTGAGCCCAGGTCCCCCCAAACAGACGCGTGATTCAGTCAGTCTACCTGTTCTGCTCCCCACTCTGTCTCTGGTGAATCCTCTCACTGCCCTGCACCTCTGGCCTTGTGCCCCAGCTCTGCATGCATAAGTAAATAAATCTTTTAAAAAATAAAATAAAATATACTGGAATCAGGAGCACATATATTCTAACCAATAAAATCAGGTGGCAGAAAATTTATGCAAATATATTTTTGCTTTGTGCAACTGCTAAGGATTGTGATATAAATCTTCCTGTGTCCTGGTCTAGGAACTAAGCATTCAAAGTTGCCCATTTTTTCTGCTTCTTAGCTGCAACATTCGTTCATCCATAATGTAAGGGAATGGATTCATAGCCTTAAAGTTGAGCCTATACTCTGACGTGTACTTATGGAAATGCTCTAACCTTCTAGGCATTATCTGGGGACTGATTTAGCCATAAGAGAAGCAAGTCATGTGAGCCTCTTGGTCGTTTGCTTTTTGCAACATATTTGTCTATCATCTAGCTCCTTAAAAAATAGGTTCTTCTCAATCATATACCAGAGACATTTTGCAGGGGTGGAGTGGGGAGTGGGATCAAAAACGGGGGGGGAGGGGAGTGCACGGGATTATGGTGATGGCACACGGGTGACTTGGTGATGGGAAACCCGCGGGGATTACAATTGAGATGGAAAAAAAAATGTACAAAATGATGTAAAAATAAACTGTTATAAAATAAAATTAAAAAAAAACAGGTTCTTCAAATGAAAAAAATAATTCCAGTGCTTCTGTTAACTCTCAACTTACAAGGCCTCAGACTTTGCACATGAGCCTTGAGGAAACACAAAACTATTCTTGTTAGAAAAGAAGAGAGGCCAGACTGAAGCGGGCTTTATTGAAAGTCCATGAGGTGGTGACTCTGCAGGCCAAGAAGGGCCCCCCCAAAGTGGGTGTGTGGGTCTTTATAAGATCAAGCAACTGCTGCAGTTTTTTGGCAAGGAAGGGTCATGGGCAGTGGGGTCTGAGGGTGAAGGGTGGGTGGAGGGCGGTGAGGTCTCTCCTGCCCGAAGGGGCTGCTCAGTTCCTTCTGCCAAGTTCAGTTCTGCCAGCTTTCTTTCTGATTTCTCTAGTCTCAGGCTTATCTCAGGTTCCCTGGTGCCTGGTGATGGGGATATGGAGGTGCTATTTTCAGGTGGCCCCTTCATGCTCCCTTCAGTTCTGAAAATAACATACGGGAAAGTCCGATGCCGTTCACCTTGTGTTGATCCCAGAAGTTAGGCTACAGAATGAACAAGAGTGTCTGTGCATTGCCTCCCCAGGACTCCGACACGTCACAGATGACCAGAAGACACACAAGAACCCCAGTCTGCGGGCGCAAAGTGGACAGACTACATCTCCATCCAAAAGCCGCTCTGCAGGCCCCCTGTGTCCCCAGTCTCAGCCTCCTCAGAAACACACTCCTGTGTTGGAGTTGGAAGGAAAGAAATGGAGAGTAGTGAGTTGAAGTCCTTTAAGCCTCATTCCTGATGCGCTCCCATGAAAGGCCCAGGGGCTTGGCTGTTTCCCAGGGCCTTAGCTGTTTCCCTCAGTGAGGTGACAGAGGAAAAGTCACTGAGTAAAATAGAAAATGGGGCATTTCTGTTTTTGTTTAATTTACTTTTATTTTCCTACATCATTAATATTTGAACAGCCTTAGTTCTCCCACCACGGCACCCATGATCTGTGCTCTTTACTCTCCCATTTTGACCCTCCTCCCTCCACTTCCTTTGTTGTTTGCCTCAAATTATAGTCACCTTGCAAATTTTGTCTTTTTCCTGACCCTTTGGTTGGTTTCCCTATATTTCATTCCCTCTGTAAGTGGAACCATCCAATATTTATCTTTCTCCTTCTGGTTTATTTTGCTCAATATCATCCCTTCCAGCTCCATCCATGTTGCCACTATTGGCTTGAGTTGATCATTTTTGACCACTGAGTAATATTCCATTGTGGATATAGACCACATCTTCTTGATCCATTTGTCTGTTTGGGACATTGAGGCTATGTCCATATTTTACCTATTGTAAATAATGCTGCAGTGACCATAAGAGAGCAGATTTCCTTTAAAATTAGTGTTTTTGTGTCCTTTGGGTAGTTTCCCAGGAGTGGGATGGCTGGGAACCGCCACACAGCTGGACCAAAACCAGGGCATTTTATAAGTTCTTGGCTTTTCCTCATTTCTCATACATTCGCTTCTTGAACTTTCTTAAGTTGTTTTTTTGAATTGTGGTAGAATACGCACAGCAACAAATTTGCCATCTCAACATTTAGGTGGGATGTGCCATAAAGGACCAGCCCTCACCACCATATAGCCACAGAAAGAACTAAATGCAAAGCTGAAACTCTGTGCCCCTTAGACACTCCCACCCCATTCCCCTCAGCCCCTTCATCTAACTGGGCTTTCTGTAAACTTTCCATCCCTGCCTCATTCTGATCTGCTGTGGGGGTTTTACTCTGCCCCACCCCTTCCCCACCACTGTGAGAATAGGGCAAAGACACAATGCAAGTTGGTGCCCCTGACAATCTAGGGGAACCTCCTTGCAGAGGGAGGACCCAAGTAAGTCCCTGAAGTGTAGTTGTTACAGGGCAGGGAGAGAGGGGCACCGTACCACCCTGTTACATACTCGCAGTCCTCCAGTACAGAGGAACATAGGAAAGGGGGTGACTTCACAGGCTCCCAGTTTGACTCAGCCACTTATGCTGCAGCTTGTAGTCCAGACTCAGCGTCCAGATTCAACCAAAAGCTCTCCCATGCCTGCCTCAGCCCACTAGCCAGCTGCTTGGTACTGACTGGTTGCATACAGACTGTAAGCAGTGCTTGATCTTTCCCCAGTGTTACAGTGACAAATTATGGCCTGTGGTTTTTTCCCCCTTGATAACGGGAGAAAATGGTTCCAAAGGCAAGCACATATTGAAAAGCTATAAATAATACATGCTGAACTCCCTAGAAACTTAGGCAGGTAACAGATTTGGAGTCCTCTGTGACCTGCATCTCTAAAGCCTTATATTCACCATTTGAACATGTTTTGATTTTAGGAGTACCAAGAGGACAGGAACGACCTTGTGATTGCAGAGACTGAGCTGAAACAAGTGGCTTACATTTTCAAATGCAACAAGTCTACTCTGCAGATAAAAGGGAAAGTCAATTCCATTACAATAGGTAAGGCAGAACTATGACTCCAGGTTGCTTTGATGCCTTGTCTTATGTAGACATTCTGTGTATTTCAGGGTTTTTTTTTCCCCCCTAGATAACTGTAAGAAGTTCGCACTTGTGTTTGACAATGTGGTGGGTATTGTGGAAGTGATCAACTCCAAGGATATTCAGATGCAGGTAAGTGGCCCTTTGAACCATCCTCTGCCCCTTTTGTGGCTTTGCCAAGCTGTCCACCCATCCTGCAAGGGGCCCTCCCTCAGCTGTGCCATCACCTCCTCTCTGATGTCCTAGCTTTCCTTAGGGTTCATTCCTCCTTTTCAGTCCCACAATGTTACAGGATAACCCAGTGTGAAATCAGTGCCTAACTGTAGTTCCTCATCCCACTTAAAAAGAACTTCCATGACTCAACCGCACGCACACACAAAAAGGTTAATAAAGGACTTATTTACAAAAAGGGGAAATGAAGAAAGGAATAACTCAGGGAAAAAGAGAGCAAGAAAAATCCGTGAATGCGTCCTACCATTTCTGCTGAGCTGGAACTCCAGTAGCATGTGAAAGCCAACAAAAGCCAAGGGGTCCCCCAGGTCCATTGCCTGGCTATATACCACGCCTGGCTGCTTAAGTACCCTCAATTCCCAGCATCCTCCCTTCACTGGTGATGATGATGTAGTTTTTGAAGATGAGTTTGGAGTGCAGGGTCCTTGGGTTCACTGGGAATGTTTCCCCCAAAGTTCCCCTTGCAGCGGCATGCAGAGTTCCCAGGTGGTTTTCTGCATGACACAGAGATGGTAATTATACTGAAAGAGCAGGTTTATTAGGAAAAGGGACAGAAAAGAGAAGGACACTTGCATAGGCACAGGTGGGCCGAAAGGGCTGCCCCAAATAGGACAGGTTTGCAGAGAGAGGCCTATGGTACAGGTCTTCGGGCAGGCAGGAAGCTGCTGCCCTAGGCCAGATACAGCCTTTTCTCCTGGGGAGGGGCTCATTCCTTTGTGGGGGGGCCTGTTTGCTGCTGTTTGCTTAATTATGTGGAATCCTAAAGGGACCAGAGACTTCACAATGGGCCACTGGGCACAATCTCTGTATCTTTACCCTCTGGTCTGTGCTTCGCACACTCCCGTAGCAGTCTGATACCTGTTTGGGCCTTAGGCCTTGTGATAGGCATGGAGGGTCTTGATTTCTATGGCTGGGTTAATGGTCATGTGAGTCTCTTCTGCTCCCACCTCCTGCTGAGTCAGGTTTTAACCTTGGATTATCATTTTTTCGTTGTCTGTTATTTTCCTCCACCAATGGGATTAGGGATTAGTCCTTGGTGTCTTGGTTCTCTCTGGTGTGGGGTGGGGGTCGGGTCTATAAAATGTATTTGTAGAGTTTGTTCAGGACCTCTTTCCCCACCCCCCTACCGCAACCCCCCACAAGAACACATCCTATTTTGCACTGCAGTCACTGGATTACCATCACTATTTCAAGACCTAATTTATCTCAGAAATTTATATAGTACTTGCACAGAGGATGTGTCAAATAAATGTTTGTTGATTGGAGTGAATCAGCAAATGAATGAACAAGAATAGTACAGGATTCTCTAGCCTAAGAATACCATGTGCCAGAGAGAATTTCCCTTCAGGAAAATTGGTTCCGAGTAAGGAGGTGGAAAAGGGGAAAGTCGGGAAAGAAGTCAGTAAAATTATCAGAAAAAACAACCAGGAAATTAGGATTAAATTGAATTTTCCAAGCAAGAATATCTTCATTCTTCAGCCTCCATTCCTTCCCTAAATGAGACTTTACAGTATAAAAAAAGCTAAAAGGGCTTCTTACCTTTGGCCAGCTCTAACCACTCTCTTTGATTATATTCTTTTCATTTTGTTAATTACCCCTGATTATAGGATGTCGCCCAATAATGGCTATTAAAAGTGGATTCTGCTTTTACAGCGCTTTCTCTATCACAGCCCAGTTTTGTTTTACTGGGCTTTTCACCACTGCCACTTTTAATTAAAGGGCATTCACTGGCATAGTCCACTAACTACCAGAAGTGGATATTGTTACCCTCAAGTCTGTACTTTAACACTCCCTGCAGCAGCAGCCTGATACCTGTTTGGGCCTAAGGCCTTGTGATAAGGCAGGAAGGGTCTTCATTTCTATGGCTGGGTTCACGGTCATGTAAGTCCCTTCTGCTCCAACCTCCTCGTGTGTCAGGTTTTAACCCTGTAATATCGCCTTTAGGGTTTCTATTCTTTGCTTCTATCAATGACATAAGAAGTTGGTTTTGCGTGTTTTCATTTAATAGAAAGAGCCCTGAACTGGGCACCGTGAGACATGCACACTTCCCTAGCTCTGCTCTCACCGCTGCTTGTGTAAGCAACTCATCTCTAACTCATTTCCCTGCTCTAAAATACAAGACGTTAACTGCAGGATTTGAAGTCCTCTCCAGCCCAGACTCTAAGTCTGCTTGGCACATAGTCCCTACAGATGCAGTTGTTTCTTTCACATTCCTGCTCCATCAATCTCCTTCTCCTGATTTTTCTGTTTCCCCATTTTCATAAATCCCATTCCTTCATAGAAAAGAGTTTGAAAGTCACCAAATAACCCAACCTATGCCCAACTGTTACTGTCACCTTGTAAACAGGGAAAACACTAATTTTTAGATTCTAGATCCTACAGTGTGAGTTATTTGCCTAAGACCACAGAGCATTTAGCACTCATCTCTTCATTAATCTACGAGATATTTATTGACTCTGTCTGACATGCAACATTAAAAACAATAGTAGTCAGGGCCCTCCCTGATGGCACAGCGGATTAAAGTGCAGCACTAGGAAGCTAGCCTCCACCACTGCAGCAAGTCTGATCCCTGGCCAGGGAGCTGACCCACACAGGGAAACAGACCTCTCCTCTCTCACCTCCTACTCCCCTCAGCAATGTACTTCATCCATCTGCCTGTTCTGCTTTGCTGAGTCTCCCACTCTGTCTTTGCTGAATCCTCTCACCTCCCCTGCACCTCTGGCCGGTACCCCAGTTCTGTATGCACAAATAAATAAATCTTTAAAAAAATAGTAATCAAATAAAACAAAAATCCTTGCCCTCTTTGGGCTTGCATTCTGGTAATGCTAACTCCCAATTTAGTATTTCTATTGATCACATTTACCCACTTAATAACACTGCTTTTTGAATATATTATGAGGGAAAATATTAAGGAAATTATTCATCGTCAGAAAAAATTCAGTTCATGAAGGACAGGTGTGGTTCACAGAAGCTTATAATGAGGCCACAATGACTGTTCTGGATGGGGGGAGTTTTGCATAAAGAGCCAGACTTCCTCACACTCCACATTACTTTTTTTTAACAAAAACCGAGATATAATACTTTATGGCAAGAGTCATGCAACTTGGTGGACCCCAGGAAAAGGGGAGGTTCCTGGTTCCCTGCCCCACCCAAAGGAGACTGGGGCTGAGCAAGGAGGAGAAGAATCTGGAGAGGAGACTGAGGAGGAAGGAAGCAGGATGGAGAGCCAGAAGGAGACCTGAGGATGGCACATGGGGGCAGAGACATGTGAAGAAGCAGCCCTGTTTCTTGGCCCTGGACTGGTTGAAACAGATGTGGGTGAGAGACCCGTGAGGAGGAGGTTAACAATGGCAGCGTTTATCTTGATTTTGATTTTGCTCTTTTCCTCCCAGATTTGACGTCCAGAGTTGCGTTAGACTGTGATGGGCTTCAGGACCTTGCTTTGGGCCAATCCCTTTTGGGTGGAGTTTTACCCTTGAGGGGATGGGTAACTTGGGGTGTTTGATTCAGAAACCATATTTTTTGTCTTTTCTGTATTGCACACTAATTGTATTATAGTTCCTTTCCATTAAAGGTCTTACATGTTTTGTCTTGATGCAGCAGATGGCAGAACCTATTTAGAGCAGGCAGGTTTGGGGGTTCTGGGGTATCCCTCTCTTTGACCTGTAACAGACTGAGTAGATAATTTGCCACTATTAAGCATTTACTTTGTGTTAACACTTGAAAGGAATCTTGGAAATAATCTAATCTAACTGAACCTCTTTTAATTTTAGAGAGTTCATTAAAGGTTTCCTTTTATTCTTCAGAAATGGGACTGGATAGCAATGATGAAATAATATGTATAGAATTACCAATATTTTGAATATGTAGCTGCATCACATTCAAAATTTTACAACCAAATGAATTAAATACAAACCATGAAACTACAGCAAAGTAAAAGAAAACAGTTCAAAATAATAAGCTTTCTGGGGAAGAAAAAATTCTAAATTGAAAAATAATTGAAGAAATTAAAATTTATAAAATCATAGAAGGAGACCAATCTGCCTACTTATGAAATTTTAACTTATCGATTTCATACATTGGAATTCTGTGTAGTCATATTAAATGGTTCCTATAAACACACCATGTTAAGAGGAAGGAACACTTTATACCATTATGCAGAGCATTTTCATTTTTCATAAATACACGTATGCACCTATATACAGAGCTATACTCTCTACATCTGATGTCATGAAGTCAGAGAAGGTAAAGTACTTTTTTAAGGCTTCGTTTATTTATGCATACAAGAATTGGGGTTTAAGCCAGAGGTGTGGACAGAGGGGGGAGGGGGAGGGTGTGACAAGATTCACCAGAGACAGAGTAGAGAACAGAACAGGCAAATCCACTGAAATACACAGCCGAGGGGAGCAGCAATGAGACGGGAGATGTCTGCTCTGACGTGGGTCAGCTCCCTGAAGGAGATGGAACTCATGAGGCAGTGGCTGGAAATAGCTTGATAGTGCTGAGATTTATCCCCTTTGCCACCAGGGTGGCCCAGATATAGTACTTTTTAAATCAAATTAAGGATATCTATCAAAATTCCATATCAAATATTGTGTGTGCTTCATTTGAAACTTTGGAATTTCCATTGAAGTCAGAATCAAGAAGAGAATTCCTTCTATCAGTGCTCCAGACCAGCACTGCACTAAAAGGGATAAGCTCAGGAAAATGTGAAATAGAAAATTGGAGAAAGAAGAGACAAAAATACCCTTATTTGTTGACAAAATGATGACCTTTACAATAAAGTCCAAGAGATTCAGCAAGCAACACCAGTGTATTATTGACTTATATCATGCATCACCGAATGATGATACATTTGGAGAAATGTGTTGTTAGGTGATTTTGATATTGTGTGAACATCAGAGAACATTGTTACACAAACCTAGAGGGTATAGACCACTAAGTATATAGGCCACATGAAATAAACTACTGGACCACTATTAAAATGCAGTCCACTGTGGACCAGAAAAATGTCATTAAACTATGCATGACTATAATGATTAGACGATGTAATAGAAAACATTATTAAAATGACAACCAAGAAATTTAAAATTTTTTAATTTCTGAATTCCACACCAGGAATACTATGTAATCACTTAAAAAAAAAAATGACCCCCTGATACAAGATATTCAAGGAGAATTTGAAAGATATGTAAAAAAATAGAAAGACATGAATACCAATTGTCCCCATTTATTTAATCTCTAAATTCAGTGAACTCAGCTCAGAATCACAATAGTATTCTTATTGAAAATGGTCTTTGCATTCATTTGAAAGAATATTGACAAGCATAGCTGAACCACTTTAAAAATACAAAAATACACCGATGAAGCAGAATAGTAAGCCATGAAATAGATAAATGAACACATGGATAGGAAGTTCAGAATAAATAATGGATTCCAACTCTATTCATGTTAAGTTCTAATTATGAAAAGGAATACAATACTTTCAAACACTGAGAATAAATTTCAGAAGAAAATCTTTACGGGCTCAGAGTGGAAAAGAATTGATTAGCTTCTAAAAACGCAAAGAAAGATGGATCTAATCACATTAATATTAATTACATGCTCAACAGAAGACACATACACAAAGATAACCCACATAGATTGAAGGTCGATACTTGTAATAATAAAAATCAAAAGGGATTTGAAACCACAATATATAAAGAATTAACAAAATCAACAAGAAAAAAAGACTTAATAACCTGACTTTTAAAAAAAAATTAAGCAAGTAGTATGAAGATCATTCAAAGAAGAAAAAACTGGAATAATTGATAAATATGTGAAGAGATGCATAACCTAGTAGAAGTAGAAATGTAAATCAATATTACAACTAGATCTATCTTTTCACACTAATCAATTTTGCATTCAGGTCTGTCCTTACCCTGCAAGGGATTGTGTTAAGTGAAATCCAGGCACATCCCAAAAGGGATGGAAATTTGGCAGCGTGGCTCAGAGACAAGTATTTACTGAATACTTTTAGAACTTGTAGATACACAAACCAAATGGATGTCACTGCAATTTAAATACATTTAATAAAAGGCTCTAAAAGAGCTTGGACAATTTACAGACAGAAAGCAGATTAGTAGATCTGGGGGTGAGGATAGAGATCAGCTGTAAGTGGATATTAGGACTATTTGGGGAATGATAGAAATAGTCTAAAACTGAACTGAAGGCATAGTTGCATGACTGCAAATGAACTAAATATCATCAAATTGAATACTTAACACAGGTGAGCTTTAACTTCATAGATTTTTGCCTCGATAATGCTATTAAAAAGATTGAAAGGAAAAAGGCATGAACTGAAGCTCATATGATTTGGTCCAATAATTCTATTTTTGAAAAACTAGTATAGGAAAATAGTACAAATTATGTGAGAAAGACTAAGATAGAAAGAAATATAAGGTATAGAGAAATAATTACAATTAATACAGAAACTATTTAAGTGCTAGAGCCTGGAGAAAGTCACAGGTCACCTGTCACTCGCAGAGGGGCTACTCTGTGACCCCCTTCTTCTTATCAGAAATGATCTCTGTTCTCAAATCTCAAAGTGTTCACATCATGTATGCAATTGATTCTAAGGCAGTCTGTACCAAAACACTATGGGAATGACAATTCTTACCAGATCAAGGCAATTTTTTAGTAAAATTTCTTATCCTAGTCTATTTCTTTCTCTCTCTCTTTTTTTTTAAGATTTATTTATTTATGCACACAGAACTGGGGTACAGGCCAGAGGTGCAGGGACAGTGAGAGGATTCACCAGAGACAGACTGGGGAGCAGAACAGGCCGACTGACGAAGTACACTGCTGAGGGGAGCAGCGGGCAGGTCAGGAGAGGTCTGCCTCGCCATGTGGTCACCTCCGGGTCAGGCAGGGATCAAACTCATGCAGAAGTGGCCCCCAATTCTTAGTGCTGTGCTTTAACCTGCTGCGTCACCAGGGAGGGCCCTTTTTTAACTATCATTTAATTGCATTTTATTGCAATTAATGCACAGCATAATGCGTAATGTTGCTTTTTTTTGGCATTTTAACATTATATAAGTTGTAGGCGTTCATTGTTGATAATCAGCATGTACACTTACTACTTGAAGTTTACTGCTAAAAATCCAAATCCATAGTTCACCACCACACCATTGTTCCATTTTCCCTTGTACCAGGAACCATAACCACTGGTAACCACTAATTGGCCTTACAGTTCAAAAATTATTTTTTATTTAGTTCATCTATTTGGTTTTTATATATACATATTATATACATACATATTCATGTAGGGTCTCATCTTTTTTATAACTCAATAGTATTCCATTCCATAGATTCCAACACATCTTCCTTATCCATTCATCTATCAAATCTATCAATGAGCACTTAGGTTATTTCTAACTCTGGCTATGGTAAATTGTGCTGCTGTCAACATGGGGATGTATCGATCTTTTCAGATTAGTGTTTTTGTATTTTTCAGGTAAATACACAGAACTGGGTTGATTAGATTGGAAGTTCAATTTTAGGTTTCTGGAGGAATCTCCATACTGCTTTCTATAATGGCTACATCATTTTACATTCCCACAAACAAGGTCTTAGGGGTTCTCTTCTCTCCACATCCACGCTCGCTCACACTGTTCTTGTCTTTTGGATAATAGCCATCCTCACAGGTGTGCAGTGATATCTCATTGTTGTTTTGATTTGCATTGCTCTGATAATAAGACATGACGAACGTCCTTTCGTGTGCCTGTTAGCCATCTGGAAGTGTTCTGGCAAGGGAAACAAAAGCAAAAATAGGCAAATTGGACTACATCAAACTAAAAAGCTTCTGCATGGGGAAAGAAACTTGCATCAGAACAAAAATGGGAGATGATATTTGCATGCTATCCATTCAACAAGGGGTTAACATCCAGACTGGATAAAAAACTCATAAAGCACAACAATAAAAATACAATCTGATTTTAAAATGGCAGATGATCTGAATAGACACTTCTCCAAAGAAGGGCTATTTTTTTTTTTTAATTCTGCTGTTGCTTTTTCAGCTATTCAGATACAAAGGATAATTCAGCAGTTTTAGCATAATATAGCAATATATAAATACAAACTGCATTACTGGTATAATGCAAGGGCCTCATATGGCCCGGCAGCAATTCACAAACAAATCACCTAAGACTGATAACTTAGCCCATTCCCATTACTTGTCTGGCATTCATAGAGTGCTCTTCTGTATGCAGATGCACTTCGTTATTATAAAATAAGCAGATCTCGAAATTGCCAAAACATTACTACTGGCACTCTTGAAATATAGTTACATGCATTATCTTTATTTCATTTTATTTATGGCAAGGCTCTGTGCTTACCTGACCTTGAACTACCTTGCTTTTTTTGCACTGGGGCTCATTTCCAACTCGGTGTCCAGTTTCTATGGCAAGAGGAAAAAACAGAAATGTGGTGATCTGGCCCGACTCCCCTAAGGAATTTTTTCCATCACCTGCACCATCAACTGGAGTTGCTCCTTTAGTTAGCAATCAGGCCCTTTCTTCAGGGTGAAAGAGGAGATGTCTTTCTCACTGCAATTACCATTACAAGAAGGTAAATTATAGAATTGTAGTATAATCCTTGGGGAGAGTGTGCCTGTTTAGACATGGCAGTGCTTGAAAACTGCTCAAAAAGAAACTTAAAACTGATCAGAATTTTTATAGCACCTAGATATTTGTAAGTAATACAAATGCCTCCACTTGTGGATGGCACTTTTTACCTATACAATAAGAGACCTGAATCAAGGCTACAGTTTTGGCTCCTGAAATGAATACACTTCATTCTTTCATGTAAGCTTCACATTCAGGCAGGGAGATTTTTATCTAGCCAAGGTGAAAAGAGTCACAGTATTTCTTACTATTACTAAGATTTAGGGAACATGGTAATTACAGAAAAATGTATTTGCTCATAAATGACAATATTTATTCCCAGACAATATTAACCCCAGTTGCATAAAGATTACTGAAAACTGGAATTTTAAGCAAATGAAAGCAAGGCATCTTGTTTCTTTTATCATGAAATCAAATATATGTTTCAAATCCACTAACAGGCTTGAGACTTTTTCCTGAACATCTAGCTGCTGCTTTCAAATTAATCCCTTTATGTGTCTCAGGAAAGAGACTCTGATGCTTGAGAATCTCCTTGTGTGGCAGAATGAAAATGCTGTCCCCAAATGACACCTACCTGAAATGGTGCCCTTATCCTGCCTCTCCAGTACCCCCTCCTCTCAGCTACCCCGAAAGCTTGGTGATTCCCACGAACTCTGCTTATTTGGAGACACTGGAGTTTTGTTTCTTTGCTGAGGCCTTGGTTTTTTTCTCTATTTCAGGTAATGGGGAAGGTGCCAACAATTTCTATCAATAAGACAGAAGGTTGCCACATATACCTCAGTGAAGACGCTCTGGACTGTGAGATTGTGAGTGCCAAGTCATCGGAAATGAATATTCTTATCCCTCAGGATGGGGATTACGTAAGTACCTTTTCAAAGGCGGGAAAGAATTTTTCTTGAGCCTTCTTGTTATTTCCATTCTTAGAGATTGATTCAGCAGTGACCAACCTAGAAGCTTCATTGGTAGATGAAATCACAAGCAGGAGAGGAAATCAGAGTTACCTCTCCCATCTTTCTCCCTGTTTTTTTTCCTAATTGGCTCACACCTAGATTTGTAAATCTCAAGAGAGTTGACTTAATTATCACCTCTGTGGACTAGCTTGGTCAAATAGTATACTATGCTTCTGAATACATATCACCTACTACTAAAGTTGTCTTTGCTATGTGGAGGCAAACAGAAAAGAGGGAGAAATGTTTTGGGGAGCAGCTAAGAAAAGGGGTCATACGAAGCAGACCTACTTGGATAGGTTCTCAGACTCAGTATAAGAATCAGCATAGCACTATGAAGCTATCCATAGCCACTGCGGGAAGAATTTGATCCCTGCCCTGGAGGTGACCACCTGGCGTGGCAGACCTCTCCTGACCCGCCTGCCCGCTGCTCCCCTCAGCAGTGTACTTCATCAGTCCTCTTCTGCTCCCTATTCTGTCTCTGGTTGGTGAATCCTCTCACTCCCCCCTACTCTGTACCTCGGCCCGCAACCCAGCTCTTGTATGCACAAATGAATAAATCTTTAAAAAAAAACAAGAAGAATCAGCTGAGGAAGATCCTATACAATCAAAATACCAACAAAGTTGTAAAACGATGGGAATTTGTTGACAATAAAAATAAAAGAGAACCTGGGCCCTCCCTGTGGCGCAGCGGGTTAAAGCACTGGACTGAGAAGCTAAAGCCACTTCCGCATGAGTTCGATTCCCGCCTGCCCCGGAGGAGACCACATGGCGCGTAAGACCTCTCCTGACCTGCCCACTGCTCCCCTCAGCAGTGTACTTCGTTGATCTGCCTGTTGTGCTCCCCGCTCTGTCTCTGGTGAAGCCTCTCACCGCCCCTGAGCCTCTGGCCTGTACCCCAGTTCTGTATGTACAAATAAATAAGTCTTTAAAAATAAATAAATAAAAAATAAAAGAGAACCAGCTGGAAGTTCAAGAGACTCACACTGGGGCCCTGGAATCTGTATTTTAACAAGGAGGCACCCCAGATGATTCTGATGCTATCAGCCCATCCAACCCCCCTTCTGAGAAACAACAGTTTAAGTAATTTGGAACCCATTTACTTTCTTTGCTTCCTCTCCCCAACACAGCAGCCTCTAAAAAAATAAATAAATAAAAACATGCAGGTATTCTCATACGTTGGAGAAGATAGATAAATAAATACATGTTCTGCATTATCCAGTGTGCTAACCTGTTGCTGCAGTTGGGAAGTTAGTTATTGTTTCTTGAGAAATAACTCGAGAGATAATTCCCTCTTCTTCAAATTATTCATATTCTGATTATCCTTTCATTGTAAATGCACATGAGGGCAGTGAACCAGAGAAGGATGGGAGAAAGAAAACTTAGCAGTATGAAAAGAAGGGGTTCCCATCAGCCTGTGGGTCAATAATGAGTCGTCTACATAGCAGTTAGCACTGTGTTCATCTCCTTAGAGAGTGTAACTGCTCCCCAAATGCCAGTAAGTTCTTCAGGACTCCCCAGCAGCATCCAGACAGCCTCCTAAAATTCATCATTTAAGTCTAAAAGCAAAACTACCAGCACTAGGCCATGAAATACTGAAGAGCAGAAGCCAACACAGAACAGCTTCCAGTTAGGAGAGCAAAAATCAGGGTGACCTCTGCCCTGTGCAGCTGACTAGGCCGAAGGCTCGCTGCATAGAAACTGCAGTAAGAAACGCTGTGGGATTTTCTCCAGACTCAACCGACCAGCATCCCTGGACATGGCACCCACATATCTACCCAAGTGGGGTCCTCCCTGGTGGCGCAACTCTGAGGGTTGAAGCACAGAACTATGAGGCGCCTCTATAGCCACTGCAGCTGGAGTTTGATCCCCAGCCAGGGAGGTGACTCACACGGCGCGGCAGACCTCTCCTGACCCGCCCGCTGCTCCCCTCAGCAGTGTATTTCAATCAGTCAGCCTGTCCTGCACCCCACTCTGTCTCTGGTGAATCCTCTCACTGCCATTGTACCTCTAGCCTATACCCCAGTTCTGTATGCATAAGCAAATAAATCTTTAAAAAAATTTTAAGGATGAAACAAAGAAGCCTCCGTCTTAAGAAACCCACAATATCCCTTTAGGGTCCTGCTTAATGAACAAATAAAGCTTGGTGTGTGCTTTTGGCACGCCCTGGAACTTGTTGAAAATGCAGATTCTCGGTCCGACTGCACCAGAGTCTGCACATTTGCAAGCATCCCCAGTTTCTCCCTGTGCATAAATGGTGCAGAATGCTGGTCAGAGGCTGACTGGTGTAGGCTCTGCTGCACTGCTCATTGGCGATACAGCAGACCTCTCCTGTCTCACCGCTGCTCCCCTCAGCAGTGTATTTCAGTCAGTCTGCCTGTTCTGCTCCCCACTCTGTCTCTGGTGAGTCTTCTCACTTCCCGCATCTCTGTCTGGCCTGTATCCCCATTCTTGTATGCATAAATAAATCTTAAAAATAAAGTCTTAGGATGAAACAAAGACGCCACAGTAGCACCGAGCAGGCAGCAAGCTCTCCCCTTACTGATGACACTGGCTCAGTTTCAGAACAGACACGTGATTGCACAAGTCTTCAGGTGACACAGAGGACTTATGACAGATTTGGGTTCCGTGAGATATCTCTGTTCATCATGGGACATACTCAGCTTTCCCTCTGCTTCCAGAAGGAAACCTTGGTTTAAGTGACTGTTCTTGCTTTTTGCAGAGGGAATTTCCTGTTCCTGAGCAGTTCAAGACGACTTGGGATGGATCAAAGCTGGTCACGGAACCTGCCGAAATTATGGCCTAAGCTCCAGAGAGAAGGAACCCCCTGCCCTGAATCTCCCCTTCCCACACTCACAAAAACAAGCAGCATTAAAGACCTAGAAGTTGCAGGAACACATACTGCTTTAATTTTGGCCTCCAGCAATTACAGAAACAGCATCATTTCTGGCATGCTTTCGTGAGCATTTTGAAATTTAATGTTTCCTCATCACTTGCTTTTATGTGTGATTCGAGTCCCATGTGACAACTCGTGAGCATTCTACATTGAAGGGGGATAAAGAACTCTGTACCCTTTATATCATTAATAGTCCTGATAGGTAAAAATAGTGCATGAATCACTTTTACCTTTAGGTGTGACTGCTGATTCACTTTTATATTGATGTTTACTTACTAGTGAAAAATAAAGCCTTGGAGAATCTAAGATGTACATTTTTACCTTTAAGAAAACTGCACAATGATATCGTTGTAGTATTATGCTCTGAAAAGTACACGATATTATTTTTTCTTATTTTTTCTCACATGTTCACCTTAATCAGCATGGACCCACTGGCAGCATGAATAAGTGAATATTCCAATCCATGTTTTAAAAAATATATAAGAAAATTACATATGAAGGCTTGTACTAAGTTTCTTGGTCCTTGGAAACCTGTGCACTTTGCAGTTATTAAAAATCTAAACTAAAAAAATGACTTATCGTAAAAACTTTTCCACCATGTCACTTGGAAAACTTACTTTATTGCATAAAGGTTTTCATGCCAAAAGATTGGTGGAAGCAGTTTTTTGTTGCCTGGTTTCTTTGCTATGGAAGACTCACAGTTTTGCTCTAACCTAAAAGTCAATTTGTTTTCCAATTTTTGAAGCTGTTAAGTATCAGATGCCTTGTACATGACGGTGTTAACGTCTTATTTTAGGCTACTTTCTTCTATTCTACTTGCTGGACTTGCTTATCAGTCTCAGAAATGAACATGAAAAAGCCATAGATGTATTGTGTCCTGTAAAAACCTACAGAACTATTTGTTGGTTAGGCTTGCTGATCCTATTTTTGTAGTATTAATAGGAATGCTTTTCCAACATAAGATAACTATGTTACTCCTTTGTATCTTAAAGTATCTAGTGCTGAAAAATCTGCAACTTCTTGGATGACATGTAATGAATTTTAGTATAATACTTGCAGGCCCAATACAAGCTCTAGATTGTGCCTCTTATAGCCTTTGGGATACATTATTTCCGTTTTTTAACTACCTTCTCTATCCATATACAAATTATTAATGCTCATTTACCAAGGTTTTGCTATAAAAGTTTTGTCCTTATGAATAATGTTGTGGCTTTAGTAAATATCTTTTTTCCAACTGTAAACTTATTCTAAAATAAAATAAAACTCTAATTGTTTATATACTGTGATGGATCCTGGGTGTTAAAATTGTGTGCGTGTGTGTGTTCTGGGATTTGTGCCTAGCTCATATGTTGGCTTTAAGCAACATGACCTAATTGAATTAAAGAATTCACCCAAAATGCTATCAGTTTCCCTGGATGACTTCTTCGAGTTAGTAGATTGGAATGATTATCAAAAAATTCCTCAATCGAGTCCTCCCTCGTGGCATAACAGGTTAAAGCATAGCATCGGGAAAGATGAAAGCCGCAGCCGCTTCAGCAAGAGTTCCATCCCCCTGCCCGGGAGGTGACAAATGGCGCGGCAGATCTTTCCTGACCCTGCCCGCTGCTCCCCTCAGCAGTGTACTTCATCAGTCAGCCTGTTCTGCTCCCCACTCTGTCTCTGGTGAATCCTCTCGCCGCCCCTGAGCCTCTGGCCTGTACCCCAGTTCTGTATACATACATAAATAAATCCTTTCATTGCTAATACTGTTAATACTTGATAATACTGTCTCCATTAAATCATCTGTTGAGTAATAGTCATTAGTAATAGTCTTCCTTTCAAAGCAAGACCTCTTGACGTGCATAATCAATATTAACTCCTTACCTATGGTAATTCTACCACTATAGGCAATATATATGTATATATAGTTTTGCTCATTTATTCTTTCATTCACTGAAAATATAGGCTTCAACTTCTTAGGATCTAAATGAGTTAAATCTAAAATATCTTTTCATTTTAAAGACAAAAAAGCTGAGGTCCAGTGACATAACAAACTTACATTAGGACGAGAACACACGCTGCTATCTACAACACTCAATGATTTGACTTCTAGTTTCATCACTTTTCCAAAACTCAAACATCACCAAATCCTAATCTCTCATCCTTTGGGATTCTATATACTCCCTTTCTTATTAATGTTCTTGGTTTAGTGACACTCAATATATTTTTTCTGACTCCTTTTGCCCCCTCAAATGCTCCCTTAAGTTTTTCTCCCTTAAGTTCGCCAGTCACCTCTAATAGATGACTCCCAAACCCACACCCCAGACCCGTCTCCCCAGATTCTTAATTCCAAGGGTCCACAAAGAGTTTCCTACCATCTGCCCCAATTTCATTCAACATGGCTCAAATTAATGCACATTTCCCACACATCCACATGCCCTTCTAGCTCCAGGAAATGGCTACCTCAGATGTCTCATCATAGATTTAAAACCAAATCCCATGAATCAGAGAGAACCAAATCCAGAAGGAACCATGGTTCAGTCTTGAACCTACTAAGTGCAGAGCACCTTTGTGGGGTTTAACTGGAAGTGGAGAGCAAGACAAAGCAAAATCTGCAGTCTTTTCTACTCACTGATACCAAATCCTTAGGAATCATTTCTTAAATTTAATAATCTAGAAATAACTTTCATTAAACATGTTCATTTCAAAACAATTATTTTAAGCCATTGGCACTTTCTGCTCCACTTCAGATACACTGTAATTTTAGGCCTTTAATTGTTCCAGCTGAAACAAGTTAGTTTTATAATCTTTCCCAGATGTCTGTAAACTTAACCATGTCAATGTTTCTGAATATTATGTTTCTACCTATGCTATGAGTAGAAAGCACACAGCTCAAATTGACCAATGATAATCCATGTAAAAATTCTACATTGTTTTTTGTTCTTCTACATATTTTATAGGATATGCAACAGAGTAATAACTGCTTATGAATAGGATTTTCCCCCAGATTTCCCTCCATACAATATTTTATATTTAAAGATAATTTTGCCTACAACTACAATTCTGATTATTTGATTATTAAATGCAATTTACTCCCATATCTTATTTTTTAGGACTATCATAAGTTTAAAAAAGATATTTCATACTGACTTGAAAATAAGGAAATGCATCCTTGTCTGCACTTACAATGCCATGATACTGAATCTTATTCACAATATTCTTTTCATTAAGTCCACTTAATAATTTCCTGTCTCAGGACAGTGGCATTTCCCTGTCACCTTTGCATATGAATAGATAACCAACCAAGAGGGTGGATGTTAAGTAAATCCCAGGTCAGTCTTTTCTTTTAAATTTGTTTATTTATGCATACAAACCTGGGGACAGGTCAGGGGTACAGGCCAGAAGTACAGGGGTGGTGAGAGGATTCACCAGAGACAGAAATAACAGAAATATTTATAAATTTCTTGTTATTTTTACTAGTAACCATGGCCTCATTTTTTCTAGTCAAAAACTAATAGACCTCCAATGGGAAGTCTTCCCATAAATGTAATAGCTCCCTATAGATTTTGAGAGGAAGACTATTCTTTCCTCCTCATTGTCTTTAGGGGACATAATCATGTCCATACTCTATGAGTGGTATACACCCCTAGCAGGGGTGATGCTGATGTCATGTGTATCTCCAGAAACTTCCCCAGCAAATACTGATAGTGTGATAATCCCTGCTTCAGGCATCCCTTTTCTACAGAGAAAATATCAGAAGTGGGGCCCTCCCTGGTGGCACAATTGGTTAAAGCACAGCATTATGAAGCTAGTGGCAGCCACTGCAGTAAGAGTTCGATTCCCGCCAAGGAGGTGACCCACATGGTGCAGCAGACTGCTCCTGAACCCACCCATTGCCCCCCTCAGCAGTGTATTTCAGTAGACCTGCCTGTTCTGCTCCCCACTCTGTCTCTGGTGAATCCTCTCACCCCCTGCACCTCTGGCCTGCACCCCATATCCTCTATGCAACAATAACAGCAACAACAAAATACATATATATGGCATATATATTACAAATATATATTTTTGTACCTAAGTCACCCAAATTGCCTGTCCATGTTCCCTAAACAGGCAGTCAATTTCCTACATGCTCAATCACAGCTGATATACATGTATCTGAAGAATAAAAAATGTTTGAATGTAAGTCTTCTCAGAGAATATGGAATTCAAGAAGTGATGTCTCACCATTAGGCAACTAAAATCTGGTTCACTAGAGAATTATCAAAATGTTCTCTTGTTTGTTAGCCTCTAAAATAATGACACCAGCAATATGGTCTCCATTCCGCAAGCTGTTTCTACCAACTGACTAGACAGCTATTTTCTCAAAATTAAATTAATTCCATACTCTATAGTTTACAGAAATGTTTCTCTATAATCTCAAAAAATACCTTTCAAATAGGGATTATCTTCAAGAAGAAAGGTTCATCCTTCCTGAATGCTTCAGAAAAGCAAAGTAGGTCTTGCATTAATTAGAAAGAGCTTTGGCATGAGAATCAAAAGGTGTTTTACATTCTAAAAGCCACTACCCAGCCAGAGATGTGTCCATATAACAAAAACCCTGATGCCTTTAGAAAGAGGTCGTTCTTTAAAAATAAGATCAATGTGTTATTTTTTTTCAACTCTGACAACAAAAATACAATAAAATTGTCTCTAGCAGAGTCACTAGCTGTTCACCAAAAATTGGTGTTCGTCCTTAGATGACATTTCCCAGTCACCTTTGCAGCCAGCTGATCACATGACCAGATAACCACCCAAAAGGACGGATGTTAAGTAAATCCCAGGTCAGCTTTTTTTTTTTAATTTGTTTATTTATGCATACAGAACTGGGGTACAGGCCAGCGGTACAGGGGTGGTGAAAGGATTCACCAGAGACACAGTGGGGAGCCGAACAGGCAGATTGATGAGGTGGAAGCAGCGGGCGGGTCAGGAGAGGTCTGCTGCACCATGCGGTTCACCTCCCTGGCGGGGGATTGAACTTGTTCAGAAGCAGCTGTGGGTAACTTCATAGTGCTGCACTTTAAACTCATTGCACCACCAGGAAGGGACCCCACTTCAGTCTTTTAAGAAAGTGCATTTTCTCTATGTTCCCTTTCCCATCCACCGGTGTCATGGAAAAAACAGCCAAACTCAATCACACAGATGATGTTACGTCCTAGTACTGCAAGAATAGCGCCTTAGAAAGAGCCTGGGTTCTGAGTATGGCCTCAGCTGAGAAAGTAACCCAGCTTAAACAATCACACATTTAGATTTATGTACCTAAGTGGGTTAGCCTATCAAAACTAATATATTATACCTAGGGCACCCTCTGATTTACTGTTTCATTCACCAGAATAACTTTGAAGAATTTGGAAAGATGTGCACAATACATTAATTTAAATGAACTTGTGTCAGAAAAACAGATTGTAAGTACATTTTTATCAAAATATATGAGGATTGAAAGAACCATATTTTGTTTGTATATAAAGGTATGTACATATATATTTGGTGAGAGAAAACTTAGTATAATGGTGGAGAACATAGATCATTGTACTATCACTTAGGCTATATAATTTGGGGGTAAATCACTTAACTTTCTCACAAAATTTTACTTTTATCGGGGCCTCCCTGATGGCACAAGGGTTTAAGTCTCAGCACTATGAAGCTGTCTAGAGCCACTGCAGAATGAGTTCGATCCCCTGCACGGGGCAGCACATGGCACAACTGACCTCTCCTGTCTCCCTCACTACCCCTCAGCAGTGTATTTCAGTAGATCTGTTCCCCACTCTGTCTCTGAATGAATCATGTCACCACCCCACACACACTTCTGAGGGTATCTTGGGTATGCACCCAAGAGTTTGCATCATAAACAAATAAATAAAATTTCCCCCCCCAAAATTTACTTCTTTCTTGTATAAAATAGAAACAATACCAGCACTTACCCATTGGGTTGTTTTTAATAATTAAGCCAGGATAAATGTAGCACATAATACAGGTTTGTAAGTATCAGTTTCTATATAAGCATCATGATAACTTAGAGATAAAAATGTCAAGATACTACAATGG